CCTTGCTTGGGTCCTCTAGAGACAGGGATGGGAGTGATGGGCTCGTGAAGACAGTGAACATCCCTTCCCTCCCCTCTGAACCTACTCTCTGGTTACTTGTCGTACAGGAGCTCTGGGCCATGCCCTTCACCACTGCCTACAAGTGAGCCCCCTACTGGGAATTTTCTTTGAAGCTGAGTGTTCACCTTGCTATTGGGATGTTCACAAGCACACTCCCAATGCCTGGCCTAGGTTCAAGTGCCCCAGGTATACCTACATATGACTGATCTCATCAGGGCATCAAATTGTCTACAACAGAGAAAAACCTGAAGAGGCAATTAGTTGCCTTTTCCTTTTCATTGGAGCTAGGAGAGCTGAACTTTCCAGTGTAGTAGCCACTAGTCAGATCTCCCTATCTATAATTAACATATTTCAAACAATAATTAACATATTTTTAAAAACCACAAAAAATACACATTTGTTGATCACAGTAGCCATATTTCAAGTGTGTCCCTAAGTGTTGCAATTTCAGCTTTGTAAGCTTGAATGTAAGAGTTATATTGGGCTTGTAGAAGTGTAAGGTTAAAATGTGTTTCTCTCAGCATCTCTCTCTCATATGAAATTTTGCAACTGGGATCAACATCTTGTTGAAGGGCTCTGACTCCACAAACAAAGGGGAGGTCTGTGAACCTGGAGGAAAGACCAGGGAGATGCTGTGTGAGCCAAGTGGAGAAGGAGAAATGGGTGAGTCAACTTGTATAATAACTGTATTATTGCTCACGGTTGTCTTTCTGCAGACTGCTTCCTGGAAGCTGTTAGCAGCACTGATGCAGAAGAGAACACAGGTAGGGAACAACTCTCAAGTGGGATTAACAGGGAGAGGGTTCCAGGACCACTTGGGTTACACTTAACTCTTTGGAGGTGAAGGAAGATGAATATAAACTGAGGAAGTAGAAGGAAGAAATATGTGTAGAATGTTGATTTGTTCTTTTCATATTTTAATGATTTTATAGACCCATGTGATCGTGTGCTGTACTGTGCTGTGCTTAAAGACATCTCTTTTTGCTTGTCCATGTAAAAATGTCCTTTACGACAAGACTACTCTTTCCTTGTCCTTTCACTGCTAAATGTGAAAGCTTGGCTTCTGGTTAGTACCTGCAGGATTTTATGTACAAGGAACTTTGGCTTCATGTTTAAATTCTCCTATGATGGCCACATCCTTGTGGGCACAAAATTCTCACAGCCGCTTGACACTGGAGACCAAGTTCTGGCAGTGAGTGTCAGGTAGTGGGTGAGACGTGAACCCTCTCCCTCTGCATTTTCAGGACTTGTGGTTTCCCCTCGTGTTTGTCCTCACTGTTTGTTCCTTGTATGAAGGGTGCTCTCAGGGTTGAATGAGTCAGAGCACACGTGCTGTGGCATCCCTGCCTGGGCTAGGCTCCTGAAGCTCGTCTCAGCAACACCCCTTCCCAAGGATGCTGTGCTGAAGGTGCTTCCACGTGAGACCAGTCCATGCCCAGGTGCCCCTGGAGACCAGCCTGGCCACAGACTCTTGAGCCTGTGAAGGGGCCGCTGGCTTTCTTTGCACATTTGCTCTCACAGCCCTGCTGGCCTGGTCTCCTGGGACTGACCGGACCCAGGTCAGAGACTCAGAGCAGCAGGACCTGGGGTGACTGCTCCCCTTCGAACCCACTACTCCCTCCAGACCAAAGCTCCAGATGGTTTTGATCACCATCTTTGCACACTCCTCAGCTCATTTATTTACCTTTTATTTTTTAGTTTGTTTTGCATTTGAGCCATGGAATTTTCTGATATATTTTGAGTATGAGCTCCTAATGTGATATATGCTTTGCAATTTTTCTGTAGGTTAACTTTCCATCCTACTGATTGTTGAAGAGACTACCCTTTCCCTATTTTGTTGTCTTAGAACCTTCATGAATTTAATTTCACCTTGTATCCATGAGTTTACTTGTTTTTTTTTTTTTTTTTTACATTCTGGTATTTAGGGCTATGTATCTGTTTCTATATCAGTATCATACAGCTTTGATTCCAATAACTTTGTAATGTGTTTTGAAATCAAGAGGTGAGAAACTTTGATCTTTGTTCTCAAGATCATTTTGTCTATTTGGAGTTCTTTGTGGTTCCATACATAATTTTGGAATTGCTTTTTCTATTTCTATGACAATGACATTAATATTTTGATTGGTGTTGCAATGAATCTTTACTTAGGTTCAGGTAGTGTAGAAATGTCAACAGAACTAAGTCACCAGTCTATGAGCATGGAATGTCATGTCAATTCCTTGTGCCTTGTTCCACCTTCTCAGTGTGGTGTGTAGTGTTCAGTGAGCTGGTCATGTCTCTCTGAAGGCCCTGTGTCCCTCCCTCCCTGATCTCAGAGTCAGTGGTGGAGGGATGGGTTTGTGAGGAGATGCAGTGTCTCTCCCTCCCTTCTCACCTCTTCTCTGATGATGTTCAGCACAGGTTCCCTGGGCCCTATGTCCATACCTGTCCCCTCAAGAGGAACACCTGCTGTGATTTCCTCTAAGATCTGGGTGTTGGCATTGATGTTTCAGTGTCCCAAAGGCTCATGAATACCTGGGATGTGTGCATGAGCCCAGGAAATACCTAGAAATGAATCATCAAATCATGCCTGTCAAATGCTCTGCAGAAACTGTTGGGGTACAATTCACAGGCCTACAAGTCCTGTACTTATCTAGACTTGAAACCAAAGAAAGATCCCAGAGTTGTCAGAGATATCAAAGGTTTAAGAGATGGGATGATTTCCATGTCTGAAGTAAAAGGATCCTGGAGAGACACCCACTGTGGATAGCAGGGGACAGGCAGAAGACAGCAGCTGCAGAATTCTTCTCTTGGTGGGGGGTGGGGGGGAGTAGGGAGTCTACCAGTTCCAGCAGGAATGAACAGCAGTTTGGCTCCTTGGTTAAATTGGTTACCATGGAAACCAGTAGAGCATCACATTCCTCTCTTAGCCCCTCAGGCTAAATACTTTCATGGGGCAGAAGTCTTGTCTTTGTTAATCTATCAGCAAACAGCCATCTTGAAATGGCCAGAAAATGCAGAGGAAATAATCAGGAGAGAGAAGATAACAGAGGGGTGGTAACATGCTATATATAGCCTTGCATGCTCAGTCACTCAGTTTTATCTGACCCTTTGAGATCCCATGGACCCATATGCCACCAGTCTCCTCTGTCCATGTATTCCCCAGGGGGGAATATTAAAGTGGTTTGCCATATCCTCCTCCAGAGCCTCTTCCCAACCCAGGAAACCAACCCATGTCTCCTCCATTGGCAGGCAGATTCTTTACCACTCAGCCACCAGGCAAGCCCTAACCCTCCCTTGAAATAAAGTCCCCTGGCATTCCAGAAAGTGTTCTACCACAATCTATCAGAAGTGTTAGAACAAGTGGCACTGATCTCCAGATTCATTCAATCTTCCCTAGTGACTCAGATGGTAAAGAATTCACCTGCAATGCAGGAGAACTGGGTTTGAAACTTGGGTCATGAAGATCCCCTGAAGAAGGAAATGACTACCCACTCCAGTGTTCTTGCCTGGAGAATTCCATGACAGAGGGGCCTGGAGGGCTACAGTCAATGCAGTCACAAATTGTTGAACATGACTCAGTGACTAAGCACGTGCACATGTATAAACTTATATAGTGGTTGTTGTGTTTTATAGTGTGGTAGCCACTAGCCAGATGTGACTGTTATAATTGCTTCAAGGCATGTTTTATGTGTGTCAAAAACACTTGTGATTTCAGGTTGGTTGGCATGAAGGTGAGAGCTCTAATGGGCCTGTAGAAGTGAGAGGTTGAGAACTGACTCTTTCAGCATCTCTAGGTTTGCAACTCAGATCAGAGTCTTATTGGAGGGCTCTGGCTGCACAGAGCACAGATGACTGCCATCTGCTATCCACAATGCAATGTCTTTCCAGAATCCTAGGAAGAAGTTCAGGGTGATGCTGTGAGAGCCAGCATGGCCTCAACTGGAGCAGAAGTGGGTGGGTTGCTCATTCTAATCACCTGGTTGCTCATGGTTGCGTTTCTATGGAATGCATTGTGGAGACCATTCGGTGCAGTGATGAGGAAGGGACACAAGAGGAAGCAACATTCAGTTGGGATCTGATGGGAGAGGGTTCCTGGAAATTTAGGGTTAAACACCCTGCTTGGAGGCTAAGGAAGGAGAACATGAAATTAGGAAGAAGGAAAAGTGTGTAGACTTATTCTTCTCATATTTTAATGACATGATAGAGAGATTTTATCCTGGACCTGCACTGAGCTGTGTTTATAATGTTTTTTCTTTATTTGCTCTTCAAAGATTATTTTTCCCATAAGAGCTTCCTTTTCCTGCTTCTGTCACTGACTAGTATGGAAGCCTGCTATCTGGTCAGCACATCTCGGGTATTGTGCACTGCAGACTCTGCTTTCTATTGCATGCTGAACTATGATGGCCATATCCTAGGATGCAAAACTCTCATTGCCACTTGATACTGGAGGCCATGTGCCTGTCAGTTCAGTTCAGTTCAGTTCAGTCACTCACTCTTGTCCGACTCTTTGCGACCCCATGAATCGCAGCATGCCAGGCCTTCCTGTCCATCACAAACTCCAGGTCAGTTCTCTTCTCCTGCAGGTTCAGGACTTGTGACTTCCCCTCATGTTTGTCCTCCCTGTTAATCCCTCATGTAGAGGGCACTGCCATGGGGGGATGAGTCACAGCACACAGGATCTGGGTCCCTGCCTGGGCTCGGACTCCTGGAGCCACCACACCAGTGAAGGCTGACGTGCTGAAGGTGCTTCCATGTGAGAGGCCCGTGTCCAGAGGGTGGTCACAATCCATGCAGACGAGTGGAGGATGCCCTGAGCACGTCTCCCCAGGGCACAGGTCCCGTCCCCAGATGCCCCCGAGGTTGCTGGGCTGGCTCCTCCTGCAGCTGTTACCTTTGCAGGGAGGCTGGGGGCACTGTGGGGCCACTGTGTGTAGGAGTCCAGGAACTGCTGTTCCAGCATGTTCTCTTTGAAGATCCCCCGTGGGGGCTTCCTCATCTCCCTCTGCAGGACCCAGCTCTGGCCTCCAACCCCCCAAAGGCAGCAGGGGGCACCCCTAGTCCACCACCAGCTGCAGAGAGAGGTTAGAGCGGCCCCACCCTCCCCAGTCCTGGGCTCCTGGGAACAGAGTGAAGGAGACACAGGCGCCCAGAGCTCCTGCAGGCAGGGGGTGACCTGGCAGCTCTGCATCCCTGTTGGGTGCTCCCTGGTCCTGAGTGTCCCAGCCAGCCTGGGGGTGCCCGAGTCTGGGGTCCCTCAGGATCTGGAACCCTGGGATCCTGGGTTACCTCAGGCACCTTTTCTCAACCTAAGTTGGAGGTTCTGTAGTTTTTTCTGTGTGTGTTTCCAGTTCCCTAAATAAAGAAACACCAGAAAGAAACTCAGTGCCGTGTGCACTTGGGATGATAGTGTAGTTGTAAGGAACCCACCTGTCAATGCAAGAGAGAAAAGAGACTCAGGGTTTGATATCTGGGTAGGGAAGGTCCCCTGGAGAAAGAAATGGTCACCCACTCCAGTATTCTTGCCTGGAGAATCCCAATGACTGAGGAGCCTGCTGGGCTATCATCCATAGGGTTGCACAGAGGCAGGCATGACTGAAGCACCTGAGCAGCATCCTTGGGATGAGTGGCAGGATTCAAGTTACTCATGTTCCTTTTATCTTTTTTCCAATTATGTCATTAATAATATATCTTGTTTAATTACAATTTAAAAAGCAATGTCTTTTGTCAATTTTAATGTCACAATATGCTAAACATATAAAATGTACATTTTTATTACAAAAACATATTGCCAGTTTAAAATCATAAACCTCAGAAGAGTTTGGCTGGGAGTTGGAAATGATTATTAGGGAAGAGAGAGACCTCAGGTGTGTGTCCATTTCCAGCACTCAGGTCTCAGGAGCAGTTGTACTGAATGAAGGGTGGTTGGGAAGGTTCTCCTACCCCCTGTGTTATCTCCCCCCGCCTGCTCCTCCCAGGGCCTAGAGGGAAGGGGGACCCATGCTTTTAGTCCCAAATCCCAGAGTCCCCTGTTTCTCTGCTTGAGTCTCACTGCCCAGGGGACCCATCAGTTGAGGTTTGCCGGCCAGATGCCCAGGTGTCCTTGCTCCTGTGGGACATTTCTAAACACTTCCCGCTCACAGACAACACCCTCAGCAAAGAGCAGCAACCAGACACAGTGCCCTGCAGATCTGAGCCCCAAAGCCAAGTCTAGATCCTGGGAGGTCTTCTGGGTCCCGGACGCCCCCCCCCCCCAGGGAAGCCTCTTCTGTCTGACACTGTGCCTCCCCAGGGACTCCATCCCCTGTGTTCATGTTTCAGGCTCTGCGCTGAGTCCCTGAAGACCTGGACCCCAGAGGGGATGCCTCATCTGCAACAGACCGAAGGAGGCCTCACAGCTTCTTTCCCGAGGGTCCTTATTTAGTATTACTTAAGTTGTTTTGTTGTATAGATTAAGTATTAGTTTTATCTACAGTTTTATCTACACGTTCTGTATCTGTATTTTCAATATTTATAAGTAAGGTATTTCATTAAAGTTTTTAATCTATCTTGTTACTTCTAAAATATTTTTTTTTGTAAAATGCACGCATGTATAGAAAAGCACCCTTTACAGAGGTAGAACTTAATGAATTGTTGTAAGGCAGTCACCCTAGTGTCCACTACCAAGGTCTCCGCCTTTGCGCACAACTCCATCTCTGTTGAGTAAGGAGCTGCAGGTTTAGTCCTTACATCTGTCCGCAAGTCACTGTCATTAAGGATTCTCTTTTCTCACATCTGCTCACTCCACTAGTCGTAGGAGATCCAGATACCTTAGATCTTTCATTATTTGCGTGTAAGGACTTTTTTCTCATTTATTTTTATTAGTTGGGGGCTAATTACTTTACAGTTTTGTAGTGGTTCTTGTCATACATTGACATGAATCAGCCATGGATTAACATGTATTCCCCATCCCGATCCCCCCTGCCACCTCCCTCTCCACCCGATTCCTCTGGGTCTTCCCAGTGCACCAGCCCCGAGCACTTGTCTCATGCACCCAACCTGGGCTGGTGATCTGTTTCACCCTAGATAACATACATGTTTCGATGCTGTTCTCTTGAAACATCCCACCCTTGCCTTCTCCCACAGAGTCCAAAAGTCTGTTCTATACATCTGTGTCTCTTTTTCTGTTTTGCATATAGGGTTATCGTTACCATCTTTCTAAATTCCATATATATGTGTTAGTATACTGTAATGGTCTTTATCTTTCTGGCTTACTTCACTCTGTATAATGGGCTCCAGTTTCATCCATCTCATTTTAACTGATTCAAATGAATTCTTTTTAATGGCTGAGTAATGTTCCATGGTGTATATGTACCACAGCTTCCTTTTCCACTCGTCTGCTGATGGGCATCTAGGTTGCTTCCATGTCCTGGCATGATACTGAAAAACCAGTAGTAGATGAGTGGAAAACCAGTAGAACCTAACATATAAAATTAGACTTTCAGCTAATTATTATTGGTGGTGATGGTGGTTTAGTCACTAAGTTGTGTCCAACTCCTGTGACCCCATGGACAGAGGAGCCTTACAGGCTACAGTCCATGGGATTTTCCAGGCAAGAATACTGGAGCGGGTTGCCATTTCCTTCTCCAGGGAAGAAAATGGAACACAAATAACACAAATTATTATTTAACACAAATCCTGGAGGGTGAATTTATGCAAAATTAATAACAAACATAAAAATGTTACTGTAAACCATAAATATGCTGATGTTACAAACCAAACAGTAGAGAGCAGTAGTTGATGGAGGCAGACCTCTAATCAGTGATCAGCTCAAAGATCAATATTTAAATAGATATCCCCAATTATTTTCTCAATCAAAACGTGAGTGATCAGTGGTGAGGAAAAAATTAGAGTTTCTGTCCCCATGTAGTCACCAACTCCTAGGTAAGGTAGCCTCAGAAAGCAAAACTTTAAATAACACATCAGCAATTTTTTTTTAAATCACAAATGATTTGAAGGTAAGAAGCAAGTTTAGGAGAAAATTGGGGAATTTTATTTGCATAAGCAAAAGTGATGTTCCTGTTCAGAGTTGAATACCATTTTGGAGCCAGTCAAGCCAAGCTGAGGAAGCACATTCTAGGCAGAGGGAATAAATATTGTATCATTCTATCTACTTGATAATTAAAATCCTCCTCTGCTGAGATCTCCCTTTGAGAAACGTTCACATAAGACACAGATATCTTCATGTCTTTCAACTATTCAAAGACGTCTGCCCACATCCCTCTTCCCTGCTTTTCTTTGTGACCAATTTGCCAATCATGACTTTTTCAAGTCCTTGATCACTCGGTGTGTCTGACCATTTCTCCTCCCAAGTGCTTCTCCCTCAGCCAAGCTAACTGCCTCAAGTTCTGTCTCCAGGGAGGCTTTCCCTTCACCACTGTCCTTCAGAGATGTCCCAAAGACAGGGTGAGGGCAGCAGCTGTCCACTTTTAGGTGGTGCCTGCATATTGTGCAGAACCATTCATAAACTAGCTTGCCTGAGTCTTCCCCTGTCAGTTCTCCACCATAGTGGGGAAGACCCCCACGGTCACAGGTACAGGATGGGAGAGAAAAGGTAGTGTAGCAGAAGTGAGGACTGTGGGCTTCTGAGCTACTTCCTCATGTAACTGATTGTGCCTTCTGGACCTGCTCTGGCCTGATCACACATATACCACTTCCATTTGATGCTGGAGTGTGGCCTTGCACATCTTGTATTGCAGCTTGGTGGTTAAGATACCGCTTAGTTCATGATGGGCAGCTCAGGTCACTTGGTAACTTGATGGCCCAAGTTTAAGCATTCAGTTTCTACAAAGTTTGCAGATGTTTTGTTTCTCTAAAGCAGACTGGTTGCCTAGATGATAGAAGGACCTTGCTCCACAATTCTTAAGTCCTGTGCATCAGTTTTCTTTTATGGGCCTTCAGAAGCCTCCAAAGGACGTCCACAGCTGCCTCAGATACATCAAGCACCATTGGACCTTCTGAATGTTATGGTCCAAAGCAGCCAGCACGGCAACCTGGACCTATTGCACAGCCCTCTCTTGTCCTGAGTTCCTTTCTAAACTGGCAGCATTTGCAGTCACTTCATAAAAAAGCCTGGAGTCACACATCCAAATGAGGAATATGCTGCTTCCAAAACTCAAAGAAGTCACTAGGTGCTGTGCCTATTTCTTGGTTGGGGCCAGATGTCACAACTTATCCTTTACCTTAGAAGGGAGATCTTGACATGGCTCACACCACTGGGCCCCCGGAAATTTCACTGATATAGAAGGCCCCTACCTTTTGTGTGATCTATTTTCCATCCTTTGACACATAAATGCCTTACCAATGAGTCTAGAGTAGTTGCTATTTCTTGTTCTCTAGCGCCAACCAGCATAGAGGCAGCAGTGTAACAGGACCTGTGTGATATCTTGTTGAAAGGGAGAGTCAATCAGTTTTAGATCAAAGTAAATTATGGTGTCAGGCTGGAAAGTTGATATACCCATGTGGTAGAGCAGTGAAAGTATATTACTGGCCTTGTCAGCTGAAAGCCAACTGCTTCTAGTGGGCCTATGGACAAGGATAGATAAAGAGGTGTTTTCCAGATTAAATACATAAACTTACATACCACTTAGCAGGGTGAGTGTTCACTTGCTCAAGCCATGAAACCACATCTGGAACAGCAGCTACAACTGGAGCCACCAGCTGGTTGAAATGATGATGATTCACTGTCCTTCTCCAAGATCCATCTGTCTTCTGCACAGGCCAAACAGGACGTGGTAGGAATTGCCGCTCCTGCATCCTTCAAGTCCTGGGTGGTGGAAGTAAACTCTGCAACCCCTCCATGAATGTGTTGTTAAATTTTATTTACTATTTCTCTAGGTGGTTCTCATAGCTTTTACTTGGCCTTCCCCTCCATAATAACCCTCCCTCCACAAGTCAAGGAACAAATGTGAAGCATCTGATGCTGCTAAATATGTCTATCCCAAGTATACATTCCAGAACTGCAGAGAGAGCCACATGACTGGTTCGGAGACCCACTGGGCTCACCATGAGGCAGAACAGAGCTACAACTCCTTTGATCAATTGACTTCCATAATGCTGTATGCTGACCTTAGGGTCACTGCAACGTTTTAGGTCTCCTAGAATTAGTATTAGTTCAAAGCCAGTCAGTAGCTCCCAAAAGTAAAATATTTCCTTTTCCCCAATGCATAGTTACCCTGGTAAAAGGCCAAGCATCATCTTGGGGAAGGCTGAGATAAGGATCGACAGTACAAGCTTTTAGTAGTTCCCTGGGGCCCTTCCTCATGCAGACCCAGCCTCACCTTCATTCCAGGGGTTCTGGGTGCATTAATTGGCTTGTTTCTGG